TAAAAAAGTTAGTTGTTTTAACCCACCACTCACTTCATAGAAGAAAGAGACAGCAATCTGTTTCCCTAAAATGACACATGGAAAATCCTGTGGTGCAGCTACCGTTGGTCCTAAAGGTCACTATAAGTCAGTGTTGAGAAGAAGGCACACAATAATATGGCTAAGTCAAAACTACTGAAGGGAAAGTTATTGAAGGTGAGACCGGAAAAGGCAATCAATTCTATATGGTAAATATGGCATGGTGTTATGTTCTCTGATCTCCTCTAACTTGATGAGGAGTAAGAGACTCAATTCTATGAGGCAGAAATCAGACATGCCTCTCCTCAAAGATCTTTTGACCAATTATAATAGCAACCACCCCTCCCACAGACTCTGCTAGGTTCAGTGACTCATCTCAATGGTCACACAGAACTGACTTACAGACAATAATCATGATTATGGTGTTTCTTAGGAAACTAATGGTTTATAATTCAGGGTCAGAAATAACTCAAGATACAGTTCTTCGTGGTCAGGCCCTCATGTCTCAGTGATCACATATTACCTTATCTAGCCTTTAACCTTTTGGCCTGTGACCTCTTGGCCTCTGCCCTGCTCAGGCAAGTGTTAGACTACTCCTTTAACTCTGCTGTCAAGTTCCTAGAGGCACCTTACTTCACTAAATAGCCTCTGTCTAATAGTTGTCACCTCTGACTCCATCAGTCAACAAACCTTTCTTCACCAAGTGCCTAGAGGCACCCAACTCCACCAGCAAGCCTCCTGCTGGAAGGCTTCCAGATGTCTTGCTCTGTGGCTCTCTTGTTCTTTCTACTATCCTCATGTCTCTTATGCTGGAGTATGTTTGGTATAAACATCTCAAGTCTATAATCCACTCATGGCTCTTCTTTCTTCTTTCCTTGATATTGATGTTTGTTTTTGTTTTGGTGTTGACATCTTGGTTTTGTTTTCTTGATGTTGATGTTTCTGAAATTATATTTTTTTCCTTAACAATGCATTTGTTGTGAGAGTTAGATCATTTGTCATGTAACATTATCCACAGTCATAACTTCATCTTTCCATCTCTAGGACATTGTGAAGTTATTTTTTACTTGATACTTATATATAGAGGTTTGTTGGATTTTCTATTCTGGGGTGTGTTTAGTGGGTTTTTTGTTTGCTGGGTTTTTTTGTAAGAATACTGTATAGATGCCGAATAGCTGTAAGCACACAAAGTCTAATTTTCTCTGTTGATGTGAGGTTAATAGTTGCTGAGGAGTTACTATTACCTAGTTCCAGTCATTCTTAGGTTACGAATATGATATTACAATTTTATTACTCCTTCATTTATAAGTTGGGTTATTCTTATAAGATTACATTTACCCCATCAATAAATTATATATTGGCCATAAAGTTTATATAGAAAAAATATTTTCTCTTTGTCAAATTAAAAAAAAATTAATGGTCAATATTTTAGAAAGTGACTGCTATATTTTGTATTGTCACAGCTTTATAGGAATTTATATCTATTAGGTGAGTTTTAATTAATTATAGTTATTATACTTGATTCTCAAAATGTTCCATATATAAGCCCTGTTGTTATTGTCATTGATTGCCATCAAATCGAGTATGACTCATAGAGACCCTATGAACAAAAAAGACCTAAAGCCTTTCTATAGCTATTATAGTTTCTCAAAGTTCATAGAATTTCCAGAAATATGTTATTTAGGAAGTAGATGCTACTCCTGCTTCCAAATATAAGCCTTATGTATATATAATTATGTGATTTAATTATATCTTCTCAGTTTATCTTTTATCATTTTTACTTTCTTATAATATTTTATAGGAAATAGATATTATTATATAATATAATAATGTTTGCCATACAGAATATTCTTCATTTTTAGGGGGGGGGAATAACTTTTTTCTTTATTTCTTCATTGGTTCTAGTTTTGAGTCATAGTCAAAAGTTTTCTCCATTGATAAATCATATAGGAATTCCCTCATGTTTTTTCTAAACACGTTATTTTGGAAAAAAAAGCATTTAAATTTGTAATATTAGGTTTGTGGCATAGAAAGGAATCTAAATTTAAAATTTTTCATTCTTATGCAGTAATTTGTTTACATTGTGTTACATTTGTATTCACTGTATTTTATGCAGTCTTCAATATGCACACTATTTCATGCAATTATTCATATACACTGTATTACATACAACCAATTACTATTGATTTATACCTATTTTCACCCTGTCTCTTTAAGTCCCCATTGAATCTTTCCTATATTCCTTCACTACCCCCCCCCCAACTATCCACTAAATTCTGCTACCTTAGTGATTCTCACTCTTCCCCTTTTTTACCTTCTTTCTTTTCTTCCCTTCTACTTCTGGACATTCACACATCTAACTAGTTATTTTTTTCATTTTCACAATAATGTCTTCATGCAGTATTTGTCCTTATGAGACTGAGTTAGTTCACTCAGCATAATGCTCTCTAGCCTCTCCCATGTTATGTAGCATTTTACAAAATGATTGTACCTTAGTGCTCCTGAGTGCTACTTAGTATTCCTTTGTGTGAATGTACCACATTTCTCAATCTAATCATTTGTTGATTCGCTTTTGGGCTATTTCCTTCCATTTTCTTGCTATTATATATAATGCTGCTATGAACATAGGCATACAGATCTCTGTTTATATCTCAGTTCTCTTTTCCTTGAAGGATGGATTCCCTAACAGTGGAATAACTGGGTTATATGGGATTTCTATGTTTAACATTTTAAAGAAACACCAACCATACTGCCTTCTGGTGTGGTATATGAGAGTTCCAGTCTGTCCACATCCACATTTATTGCTGGATTTCCTGTTAAACTTTGCTACTGCTATTGGAGTGAGATGGTATCTCATTGTGGTTTTGATTTGCAGCTCTCTTATTGCCAGTGATTTTGAACATTTCTTCATGTATCTGTTGTCCATCTGAATGTCTTCTTCCTTCTTTCTCCTTTTACTATTAATCATCAAAGAATATTGCTTTATATTATATCTATTTTGTCTTACTGTAAGAATTAGATGATACACTGTTTGACTTTTGTGACTAACTTATTTCACTCAGTGTAATATCCTTCAGATTCATTTATGTTACATTATTTAAACTCATCAATGTGACTTATAGCTGCATAGTACTTAATTTTGTGCATATACTATAATTTTTTTAATCTATTAATCTGTTGATGAGCATTTAGATTTTGTTTCTCTTTGTTATTATGAATAATACTGTAATGGACATAGATGTGCCTATGTCTATTTGGGTCACAGCTATTAAATCATTAGAGGATATTTCTAGAACATAGAGTAATTCTATTTCTCACTTTTTAAGAAAGTACCAAACCCATTTACAGTCCCACCAACAGTGGAGCCGATGCCAGTTCCTCTAACCTCATACACTGTTGTTTTCTATTTTTTTGTTTTGTTTTGTTTTCAATTTTGTTTTGGTCAATACTATTTTGCAGAAGGTGAGATGTCATCTCATGGTAGTTTTTGGTTTTGCATCTCTAATTGCAAATAAAGCAACTCTAGTGGCAAGGGGTTAAAGCATTCATTTGTTAACTTAAAGATCAATGGTTCAGACCCACCAACCCATTCAAGGGAGAAAGAAAGATGTGATAGTCTGCTTCTGTAAAGATTACAGCATTGGAAATCTTACCAAAGTTATACTGTATCGTATAGTCACTAAGAATTTAGAATTGGCTTAATGACAGTGGGTTTGGTAGTTTTGCTTTAAAGTGTCTTTGAAGTGTTTCTTAGTTGATTAGTCAATAAAACTTCAATCCTGTTGTATTTGCTCTTTATTTTTATACTGAATATTTGAAATTTTTTTTCTAAAATGTTTATACCTTACCCTCCTCATTGCTGTCAAGCCAGAATTTACTCACAGATGACTCTCTAGTGAATTTTTGGAGTACATTACTTGAGATGATACTCCCAATTTTTTCCTTATGGAGCAGATGGTGGATTTGAATTTTTAGATTGGCAGAACAACTCCTTATCCACTAGATCACCAAAGCTCCCTGAAATTCCTACGTTGTTGCTGTCATGTACTGTCGAGTTGGAATTGACTCATAACTGACCCTCCAGGGGAGTTTCACAGGCTGTAAATCACACAGGAGATAATTGTCCATCTTTTTTCCACAAAGCATCTGGTGGACTTGAATCTCTTATCTTTAGGTTGGCAGTGCGACTTCTTAACACTAAGCCATTAGAATTCCCTAAAAGTCCTAGAGTTTATATCATTTTCAAATAATTAGTTACTTATTCTCTTGCTCCCTTAATACCTCAAGACAAGGAAACTGGAAATCTTGTTTTAATCCTAGAAGAGGTAACTTACAGAAGTCCTGGTTTCAAATAAGGTAGAAATGGGAGAAAAGTTATCTGGACAAGAATCTCTTACAAGGATGAGAAATTAAAATATAAAAACAATCTAAAAATCTGTTACTGTATGTCTAAACTAAGAAATATTCTTTCTCTCTCAAGTGCTCTTTCTCTCTCTGTCTCTCTCCAGTAACAATGTATTGTTGGTAACAATATAATGTTCCAGCTCTTTAATTCATTAATACTACTTCTAGGAATTTATATTAAGTTGCTGGATGGTAAGGTTCCTTCTTGTCACACAGCAGGCAGAAAAATTCAAATTGAAATAGCATACTGATTGAATACTTGGAAATTATTAAAATAAAACCACAATTAGTGGGGAAATGTAATCTAAGACTTAAGCTCTAATCCAGGATGAAAGCAGAGGAGCAGGTCAAGTAAGCTGAATTCTGATCGTTTCCCTGTAGTCTTTGCAAAACCAGCTCTATGAGTTCAGTGGCTCAGTTTTGCCATTCATAAAAAGTGTACTATAGTGAGGTTTTTGCCAGTTCGCTTCATACATGCTTTGGGGATGAATGGGCCAGTGTGCTGAAACTGTTCTCATTGCGTACATAGAAGCGTTGTGTACAAATCAAGTTTCCATGTCTTTTCCTATTTGCTGCAGTTGCACATGATGAATGGAGAAGCAATCATACAGTAGAAATAGAGACAAATCAAACTCTGGAAATACCTTGCTTTCAAAACATCTCATCTCAAATTTCATCTGCATTCACCTTTGCATGGTTGGTGGTAAGTGTTGCCCTTTCAAATTTGAAAAACTGTAATGATCTTTAAATATTAATGAGAAAAAAAATGAATAGCAAGAAATGACAGGAGAAGGGGCCCCCTGGATGAGAAGCAGGCATTATTTGTGAGGTTGAGTGGGAAGGTTTAGGTGGAGAAGAAAGGGCACTAAGATTCTTTCTAACTCAGCAAACCTTGGATTTGGTGAATGCAGTTAAATATTTTAGAAATTGGCTCCCAAAGGTTAGATCTATTTCTAATCAGCTACCAGACCATAATTACAGAGAAGACAGGATGTGGTAACACACCAAGGAGCCACATTCAGCAGCTGCCCCTGTTTACAATATTTGTTCTACAGTCAGCATATGCACAGGGAGACTCCTTTCCCTTACAGAGCTCTTACTACCGACATGGGTAGCATATGGCGTAGCTAGCCTATTGTTTTACATCCAGAAACACAAACGTTAAGTCCTTATAAAATGTGGGTAGAAAATATATATGCATGAATAGGACCTATGTTAGATTTCTCAGCATTGGGTCATTACGACAGTTGAACTACTGGCATAGAATTGTTGTTTTCTGAATTACAAAATAAAAAAGCTGGAAATTTGTATTTTTATGAAATATTTTAAATTGTGAGGTTTTGGGGTTTTGTTTTTTGTGTGTTTTTTTTTTTTAAGAGCACTGAACATTTCATGGCAGGTAAAGAGAACAAGCAGATATGTCTTAGAGAGGGTGCAGCCAGCATGCTATTTAGAGGCAAGGATGATGAGGTTTCACCTCACATACATTAAACATGTTGCTAGGAGGTGCTATTCTTTGGAGAAGGACATGATGTGCGAAAGGGTGAGGGGTCGGCAAAGGAGAGAAAGACCCTCAACCAGGAGAATTGACACAGTGACTGCTCCAATGGGCTCTAGTGTGTCAGGAAGTGTGAGGATGGTGCAGGACAGGACAGAGAGGTCTTTTGTTCATAGGATCACTATCAATCTTACTCGAAGGTACCTAACAATAACAACAATAAAACTATTCTTTCAAAATAATGATCAGTTTACCAATGCACTGACAACATAACATTAATGTTTGTTAAATTACAAAATTTGTTGCATTATCAAGTAAGAAAGAAATGGCATTGAACCTTCATTTCTATATAATAGCTGGCTAACATTTTTAGGTAAATTTATTTAAAGATGGTCCCATTCTTCTTACCACAAAATGAATGTGATATGACTGTTGTTGCTGTTGTTATGTGCCGTCGAGTCGCGCGACATTCGTTCTGGCAGGCCACTCAGACGAGGGGTTAAGGCAACCAGCTAGCTGAAACCTGGGCAGCTGAGAAGCCAGTCTCCCAAGTGATATGACTACTTTCCTAAAATTTCTGATGAGTTGCTTTCTACGTGCTGTGTGATAAGTAAATTCTCCCACTCATTTTTCTCTACTTGGAATATCACAAAACCTTCATCAGACCATCTCCATAACTTAAATCTAGCTTAGCCTGTAAAAGAACTCTATTATTCACAAACTTTGTCTACCTTTGTTATTTTCTTGTTAATTGGCACATTATCTGTCCTGTATTGTCATTTTTATTTTAAAGTCTAAACTGAATTTGAAGGAATCCTGGTGGTGCAGTGGCTAAGCATTAAACTGCTAACTGAACTGTTGGCAGTTTGAACCCATCAGGTGCTCCATTGGAGACAGATGTGGCAGTTTTCTTCATAAAAATTGTTGCCTTGTAGCTCTTAAATGAAGATTATAAAAACTTTGTCTCATTATAAGTAAACCAATCAGCATGAGTCAAATAGTGAACATGACACATTTATATCATTTTAACTTTGTGGCAAGTCAGTTATTTAGCAAGATAGTAAATGTTTACAACTATTGAATCACTTGATCTTATGAGATTGACAGTATTATAAAGATGTCATGAACTGGATGGAATCACACTGGTTCTGGAATCACATAAGATAATCATTCAGATGATCCAGAATATGATTGTATTGAATTTTCCAGTTATTCTCAAGATGAAAACATAAGACTTAAAAGTCCTTATAGTGATGCACTTTTAAAACTATTATATTTGCATGATTGAGCACTCATATTATGAATTACCTATATGTTGTAGATTGATTTGGAAACTAGAATCAATATGAAAAGATTTTCCTGGGCAATATGCCAGTTTAAAAATAACTAACTTCCAAGCTGAACTTCAAATACAACATTCTAATAATTATTCCTATCCTGTTGTACTTTGTCTAGTAATGAGGATGGTGCCTGTCTGGGTGATGTTTCACTCTTTTTTTTTTTTTCATAAAGTCACTGTCAATTGGATCTGGCTAGAAGGTGGCCTAGTGAAAAAGAGCTGCTCTGCCAATCTGAAGGCACATGGTTCGAACCCACCAGCTCCTCTACAGGAGAAAAATGAGAAATCTCCTTCTGTACAATTTAATGCCTCTGAAAACCCACTGGAAAGTCAGTTATGGGTCAGTTCTGACTCAATGGTACATAACAAATAATAGATGATAAAAACAAGAGTTGTGTTTTAGATCATCTGTACGATGATAAAATAATAAATAATAACTCATACTGTTCTAAAGTCTATAATGCTTCTGTCATTTATCACAAAGCACATTTTTTTTTCCTTCATAGATTTTTGTGTTGAAGATGATTGAGATTTGTTAGGTTGTTGTCAAATGTTACCAACTCAACTACAACTCATAGTAATGCTACGAATGACAAACCTGAAACTTGCTCTGGCCTCATGATCTCTAGTTTGCCCAAGGCCATTGATACATTATGAGAAATCATATATTTGAGGATCTTATCATAAGTTAACAGTTCTTAACAAATATGATTAATATGGCTTTTAGGGAAAGATTGAAAAGTGGAAGTAAGCTAAAGAGGGCAAAATTTACTATACTAAGGATGAGGCTAGTAGGCACTTCTGCCAGACAGAAGAAGCTCAGGGCATCATATCTCACCAGAAAACTACTAAAGTTCCTGTGAGAACAAAGTAGAATTCCAAAGAGCATAATGGACGGAGAGGAGAAAACCTATGGTGGCTGTGAAGGTCTAGATGCCATATATGTTAAATTGATATCTTCTGATAGTCGTGAATTAATTGTAAAAAGAGAACATGCACTAATATGAGGAAAAATAAAAGCCATGTTGAGTGGCCCAGGTCAGTTTGTTAAAAATAAAACAAATTAGGTCAATTTTAGAGAGATCCCTTCATATGTACTATCAAAAGTTTGCATGTATTTTACCTACAAGTTTCATGACACTAACAGCTCCACTGAGATTCCCGAATTCCCAACTGCACCTGAAATGGCACTGGAACTGCTGAGGGCTGCGAACTTCTTAAGATTGTTAAGTAAAATAAATTATTTTTTTAAAAACCCCTACTATATAAATATTAAGGTAACAGCAATTCTCTGCTTATACCTTGATTACGTTATTATTATTTTCCATTGAAAGGGCAAAAATTTACTATTGTAATTATCATAAACTCAATAGCAAGAAGGATCAATTTAACAAAACCATAAAGGTTGTATGGGCCAAGAAGTTGATCTTTAAGTGCTTGGCTACTAACCAAAACATTGGAAGGTCTAGTCTACCTAGAGGCATCCAAAAGAAAGACTTGATTATCTAAAAGGTCAACCTCTGAAATCCATTCAGAGCACAGTTCTACTCAACCTCGCACACGGAGATCATGAGATGAAGCGAACGCAACAGAAAATGTTAGCTTGTCAATTGATCTGCCATGTTCTTAAGTTATCTATCTCATGGGCATACTATCTGTTTTCCAAGCAAATATAAAGCTCTCAGTCAACTTTTGCATGACTGTGAGCTACTCCAGGCCCAGAAGTCATATCACTCACTTTTCAAATCCCTAGCTCCTAATATAGTGCCTGGAGCACAGCTGCTTGTAAATAATTAAATGGATTTGTCTCTCTCCCATCGCTTTCTCCATAGGAATAGTCACTGTCCTTATATTCAACTGATGCTCATTAAATTCATGCTGACTGATTGGTTGGTTGTGAGTGGTATTTCACTTAGTGCCAATGATTAGGTAACTGATACAGCTTTCTTTATCTAGTGCTTTTCTTCAAAGACACTAAGAAGCCTGTGTAGACATGATATTTAGAAATCCCTGCCAAAACTGTTACAATAAATGAGGGCCAGAAAGAGTGCAGGGAAGGTCACCCAGAGGTGACTCCTAAACTCCTAGCAGAACCTCAAGTCACACTGTCACCAAGAATGCACGATAATACACAATGTTAGGAAAGAATCTTCTCTTTAAAGGGAACATTGTATTGGCAAAGGCAGTTTATAAATCTATTAAATTCCTACTGTGAATTCTCTTTTTAAATGTCAAAATCTATTTGCTTCTCTGATTTACATCCTTGCCCCGTGCTGTCGATGACTGTGTAACTCAGCAAGCCTGATAAGGAACCATCTCGTCTCATTAAACTAGTGAATAAACCACACTCTTTATGAGTAATTGTTGCATTTCAGTACAGAACATAAATATCTTCTCCAATGTATACCTGAGGCCCTTTAGTCTCTTGTTAAACTGACTATAATAATAATAATCATCATACTAATGATGAAATGATTTTTCTAGCAAACATAATGTGACTTTAAAAAACCCAAGAACTTAAAAAGTATAAATGGTGATAAAGGGCTGAGGAAGAGAGAAGCCTGCTGGAATGGACTCAGTCACCCTGAGCAACTGCAAAAGCCTCCCTACTGCAAGTTCTTCTTTAAAGCCCGGAAAGAATTTTACAAACCAAGATTATCTAGGTCACTATAAAGCAAAAATGTGTGGCTTTTGTATATGACATTTTAAAAATTCTAGTTAATTATGCTATGACCCTCATGGGAAAGACTGTTGGGGGAATGGATTAATCAGCAGCAGCAATAACAACAACAACAAAAAATTTACTACATGTAGGGAGCTCTGGTGGTCTAGTGGTAAGAATCTGTGCTTCAATCCTGAAGGTATG